TGACATACAAAAAGATACAGGGCTAGCTTAGGGTTATAAGCATGATAATTAATAAACAAAACAGTAAGTTATATATTCCCTTTTCTAAAAAAATATCCTCTGAAGCTTAGATCCATTTTATTCAGGAGCCTTTAAATCATGGATTATAGTTTGCCTAAGTGTGGCCTGAGCCATACGATTCCATTCTCTTCAGAGTGCAGTTGAGATTAATTGCTGCTTCACTGAATTAGTTTACACATGCATGTCACAGCAACCTCATAATCCTGATAAAGTCTGTTCTGACACCACCAGTTTTCTACCCGGAAAATTGTTTCAAAAAACATATTGGTTACAATTATGTAGTTTTTAAATAAAATCAACTATGAAACCCCCCTCCCTAATCCTGTAATAGACCTGGCTGCCGTTAGGAACTGTCCATCTCGGTTGAAGTTTGTTTAAACTGTACTCCTGACTAGATCAGTGAAAAAAAAAAACTAGCCGATTATAAAAATGTGTCTGGTGACAGAGGTTCATTGTGTCTAATCTTCAATGGTCACTGATGTAGTAATTTCCTCTGCACCAATTTAAAAGTAAATTACTTTTCAATTTTGTCTCGGTTGTCATGTTTATTTGCTTTCTAGTTTTGAATGCAACAGAAACCAAGCTTCACACTTCTTTTCAGTCTGCTGGCAAATGCCAATTTTGTTTTTTATGTTTAACGTGATAGTAAATGTGCATAACAGATTGATTATATCAGTTGACCCATCATCATTGCGGGCAAGCTGTCAGACTGGTATGCTAAAATGCTTTATAGAGAACACTGCAATAAAATGTCTAAATACACAGTGAGAATAACCAGAGACCAGTGAATGTGATGGGCTTTTAGCACCATTCAAGTGAGAATAACCCGAGACCAGTGAATGTGATGGGCTTTTAGCTTGTCAGATCATGCATTGTGTACATCATATATTGTGTTGGGAGGTTCTTGATTTTCTAGCTACAACCTTCTGCACTGACCAAACTACCACTGAAGGTGGGGAATTGTTGGTTTTGGCAGGAGTATACAGGCATTTGGTGGGACATTCTACTGATGCAGCTTCATATTTCTCAAAGCCTCTAGTATGTGCAGAAACAAATTCTACAATGAGATTCATGCTTCAAGGGCATCAAAGTTCTCCTTTTCAGTGTTACTATAACCAGAAAGGTTGTGTGCTGCAAATATAGTGAAACTGATTAGTATGAGAAGCTTCAGGGCAATATGGAATAATTGACAATTTTGTCACCATGTTGGAAATCAAAATATGGATGGTTTAACACTGAACCAAGATGAAATGAACTAGCCACTGGTGGCGCTGTATGCAATCAATATCTATTTCAGCTTGCCGTAGCTCATTTAGATTGTATAGTGAAACAAGAAAACATTTGTTAAATTTGGTGACCAGTTTAGTATGATAGAAAGCGTTTACAGTCTTCAAATAACCACAATAGACAGAGTAGGGGTCAAGACCAAATATACGCGATTCCAACGTTTCATACTAAATGCTTTCTATTAATATTCATGAGATATGCCTACGTCATAACCTCGTTAAAAGTTATTTAACCACATTGATGGTGCTGAATGTTGCCTTCATATTCGAAGCCCACACTTAAGTGACACTACCAGATATCAAGCCAGCGACTGCTGAGGATTTGTACACATTTCCACCATGTCATACGCTGTAATATGCAATGACAATCCTGGGTAACTGATTAGTCTAATCTTTTCAAACAATGGCAAGTTGTATAATGACAATAGGACTTGAGGACCACCCAGCTCCCATTCTAGACACAAGTTTGGTATTTTGCAACAAGTGTAAAAGTTAGGACTCAGGAGGCTAACTGCATAATGCTAAAAGCTCCTGAACATTGAGGATGAGAGCTCGTCATATTGTGTGTGCTTGAGTAAATAAGCTCAGATATCCGCATTTGACATTTTAAAAAGTAAGTCAGATTACACAAAGAGGTTACATTTTTCAAACTGAATAAACAACAAATTCATGAAAATACTTGAAAATAGTAGCATTAAATGTGGGCTTCATTGGATAATAGTTTTGATGCTGACTCCAAGAAACAATATTCATTTCAACAAACTACCGGTAATGATACTCAGTGCATATGACTCATTTTAGAGACTAAGGCTGCTTGCATTTTGGCAAGTACAAGACCAGAGTAACCATTCAACCTACACGAAACACTTTTACACCATATGATACTTATAAATATGAAAATGGATTGTTCCATAAAAAAATGGTGAATAAGCTAATTATTACTACATTGTACACCAGTAGTGCAATGTCTACTAACATGTCTGTTAGACAATGGCAACTATGAATATCCTGAGTACAAGTACACATTGTATAATTACTTGCTTTAAAAACATTCAGTAAAATGCCATGGTAAATGATAAGTAAATTAAATATAAAATGCGATAAATACATTATAAAGACTTGTGTTACCATAACATGTTCTACTAAAGAAGTTACCATAACATGTTCTACTACTAAAGAAGACACCATAACTGAAAACCCTAGTTACTATTTCAAATCACTTTCAATACAAGTGTCCCATTGACATGTACCACTTGTTTGGTTCAATGACAGATAAACTAAAAATATTTGTTTGGTTACATGTACGATTGTCAAGAATTATAAGAACATTCTGATGATAATTTCTATGATCAGCTATTGTTCCAAAAATGTTCATTTTTGTATCTTTTTGGATATGTTTTCTCCAAACAAATATTTTGTGACTGGAAAACATTTTTAAAAGTTGATGACATGTGTTAAAATCACTAATTATGAGATAATTTTGAAACAACAAATGTGTTCGTCTCCACAGTTTGTATCTTATAGGTTGAATTCCCACAATCTACATATACCTTAATGACACTAAGCTATTCCCTGTGACTGCATATTTGAAATTCTTAAGAAAAAAACAAACTCAAAGGTAGTTTGAACATTTTTTCAAATCAAAATGGTCATCAGTGTAGGTTTAAAAAACTGTAGATGAAAATCACAATGCTTTTAATTCAGATTAAATTCAGCCACACCCATCCTGCATGATGTTGGTAATTATGCATATTCTTCCTGCTGTTTCTATGACAACAGCAAAAGAACACTATACATTATAATTGAATCCTTTCAATATTGATGGGATTTATGTTTCGACTTCGCTTTACATATTTTTACTGAAAGATACATTGGTATCAAATATTGTCATTGTGATGAGGTAGTGTGGTAGAGGAAAATATTATTATACATTTATGGTTTCCATAACGAGTTTTCACTTCTGTTTGCTTTCGCAAGTTGAAGAAGAGACTGTAAAAAAAATACAGATATTCAATTATTAATTACATAAAAAAGAATATATAATAATACATGTATGTAACAATTTAGTTTTTCCACCAGTCAACGAATCAGATGAGTTCGAGAAAAGAAAATATTATCATAGGTCTTTAGTATTTTAACAAACACTGGTCAAAGCTTACTTTTCGGGTAAATAATATTTCATTAAGATTTAAAGTAGGGGGGGGGGGGGTCACCAGTGAAAGCAGCTAATTAATTACTATCAGCTACTCTTTTATTAATATTGAATGATATGAGTACATACTTCCATTTTTGCTTTCTCCTTGGCACGATATTCAGTGACTTTCTCACTATCAGCTTGCTGGCGTATTAGCCTTTTTTCTTCCATTTGTCTTTTTCTTTTCTGTAACTTTGCTTGAAAATTATCATCCCTACAAAGAGTCAATGACAACTGATTATTCCAAAGGAAGTAAATCACAATTATGATTAACATTTGCAATAATTTGAAGAGCAATATTAGTTAATTATTCATTACAATGTAATTTAAGAACTTTTTTTGCACCACCAGTTCCCATTTTGCAGCACAAATTAACAAAATAGTCTCATTTATAGTCTCCATTTTCCTTCAGAATATTTTATGTAAAAACTGGAAATTTACTTAAATTTTGTTTGTTGGCTCAAAATTTAGGGTTCATTTCCAAAAATATTGAACAATATAGGAAAAAGTACAGAACAACTTGGTGGCGAAGAATTTAAATTTTCCTGCCTAAATTTTCATAATTTTTTTTCTGAAATTTCAGACTACATATTTCTTACCCTCCAATAATATAAGACTCTTTCATTTCAGGACTGTGTTCTCTACTTTTTCTCTCATATGATCTAGCAATTCTCTTTTCAACCTTAGCCTCATATCCAGTTGCTTTTGGTGCAAGCTCATCCATAACCTAGATAAAACGAATTAAGGCAATATCTAACAGTGATTCAAATTAAAAGCATCATCATGACCACTAATACATCTACACTGTTACTCTATATTATATTCACATTATTATGATGATCTATTATTTACTGTATAAAAAGAGTAAAATCTGCATGTAACCTCACATGGCAAAGGTCAATACACAGTTTTGTCAAAGCTAAGACAGCCTTGCCAACCTCAGCTTGCTGTAGTGAACATGTGTATTAATTAGACTGAATAAAGCATCACATACTGAGACTCAATCATATGACACTTCTGGTATAATCATGTTTTACAATCAAAAGTAACACATCAAGGCATTGGCATGGTTCTAGACAAACTCTGAACTGAAAAAAACTCACCATTTTGTCGTGATCTTTGAATTGCTTCCTTTCTTTCTGCAGCATTTTTCTACTGGCTTCTCTTTCTGCTTCTATTTCATATTGTGATTTAGAAGGCTGTGATAATGTGGGTAATTAAACAATACAATGTTACACATAAAAAAATACTAGGTGTGATAACGTGGATAATTAGACAATACAATGTTACACATACAAAAATACTAGCTGTGATAATGTGGATAATTGGACAATACAATGTTACACATACACAAATACTAGGTGTGATAATGTGGATAATTAGACGATACAATGTTACACATACAAAAATACTAGGTGTGATAATGTGGATAATTAGACAATACAATGTTACACATACAAAAATACTAGGTGTGATGATGTGGATAATTGGACAATACAATGTTACACATACACAAATACTAGGTGTGATAATGTGGATAATTAGACAATACAATGTTACACATACAAAAATACTAGGTGTGATAATGTGGATAATTAGACAATACTAGGTGTGATAATGTGGATAATTGGACAATACAATGTTACACATACAAAAATACTAGGTGTGATAATGTGGATAATTGGACAATACAATGTTACACATACAAAAATACTAGGTGTGATAATGTGGATAATTGGACAATACAATGTTACACATACAAAAATACTAGGTGTGATAATGTGGATAATTGGACAATACAATGTTACACATACAAAAATACTAGGTGTGATAATGTGGATAATTGGACAATACAATGTTACACATACAAAAATACTAGCTGTGATAATGTGGATAATTGGACAATACAATGTTACACATACAAAAATACTAGGTGTGATAATGTGGATAATTGGACAATACAATGTTACACATACAAAAATACTAGGTGTGATAATGTGGATAATTGGACAATACAATGTTACACATACAAAAATACTAGGTGTGATAATGTGGATAATTAGACAATACAATGTTACACATACAAAAATACTAGGTGTGATAATGTGGATAATTAGACAATACAATGTTACACATACAAAAATACTAGGTGTGATAATGTGGATAATACAATTATACATGTGCACCTATACTAGGTAAATTTGTACAAACATTTCCCTACATGTGTACATCTAAGTGCATGTGCTACTACTGGTATAGGAAATACTGTATATGCATGTGTGTTAAGCCTACTAGTATATGTATATCACCTCTATATGGAGGCATAATGGTTAATGGATCAAGGCTTCAGGGGATTTGAATCTTATGGGCACCTGCCTACTCAGCACATACATGTAGTCCTAGATGGGAGAATCGCATGCTGTTGGATGGGGACGAGTGCCGTTTCTGCCTTCAGTAAAAAAAAATATATATATATCAAATAAAAAACAAGACCAGTACCTAAAATATACGAATAATTAACTGATATCACTTACAGGAAGTACTGGTCCCACAATTGGTTTATAATCACTTGGTAGAGCCGGCCCTTGTACTGGTTTCAATGCCGTAGGAGGTAACATAGGCCCTTGTACTGGTTTACTCTGTGAACTTGGCACTGATGGACCTTGCATCGGCTTAACAAATGTCCCTGTTGACAATGCAGGTCGTTTGTTGAACTGATCATCACTACTGCTGCTACTTTTACCAAATGTAGAGAATCCATCATTATCGTGCATTGAGACATTTGATCCTGATGTCCAACTCTTTATCCTCCCTCTTACAGTACGAATCTTAGACTGTTCTGTATCAGAAAACTAACAACAGGAAGAGATTTATTAGAAATATTGGCAATATTTGTAGTATATATTGAAAACTGTGAAAGTACTGAGTAGCCAAGATGTTTAAATATATATTACATGTATGTACCAGACTATAATTTTCACTGGTAGCAAACTTTTGATATTTGTTAAAATTAGACACTTGCTGAATTATCAATTTTAATAATATTACAGTACATTCTTGATACTACACAAGTGTGTCAAGGGGTAAATTATTCACTGGGTTTTAATTTTGCTTATTTTGCAGAATGGAAAATGTGCTAAATTATAACCCAATGAATATGTAAAATTTAGCATAGAACACATAATCTAAATGATAAAACTTTGAATTTAAAACCCACTGAATATACCTGTAATGGTAAATCAGCGAAATTTAAACCCAGTGAAAATTAGTCATTTTACAGTAGTCTACAAAAATTACCAAGTATACCAAGGATACTACGGTACTCTAAATCTACTATGGAAGTAAGACTGTGCTTATAAAGAGAACACTGGAACCAATATGAAGATAGATAATCAACCATGACATGTAAACCAATGAAACATAACAACACTGTCACCTACAAACCAGGAAGTATTGAATTCAAACTCACCTTCCATCTGTACTTAGTTCTAGAAGACGCTGCGACATCTGAAGCATCAAGGCCTTCATAATATTTCTGAGAGAAAATTGTACTACATGTAGATCCTAAAGATTTGATTCTAACTAGATGAAAATGTTTTTATTGATTAAAAATGAATGACTTTTGGCTAGAATAAAAGTGCATGTTGACAGCCACTTAATGTAAAACTGTTTATTTGTACATGACATACAGAGTGTTGTGATTAGTTGATCTATGAGTGCCAGTGAAATTGTTCACTTTTACAAACTTTAATTATTTTCTCTGAAATTGGCATATCGGTAAATGGATTTTGTGTGAAATAAAAGCACTTTTCAATCTTGGAAGGTGAATGAAAAATCATATAATGATAAAACAATAACAGTAAGCAGTTAATTACCTTGGGGAGTCTTCCTTTATTCCATTTCTTCACAAATTTCTTAAATAAAACTTTAGCTTTCGATGTTTCAAGTTCATCAACATATTTCTTTTTCTGCAGAAAGTCGTTCATAATTACATATAAGCTTAAACTCCCACATACATAACATGTATACATAAATATGTAATATCAAATAAAAACTTCTTTAAATTTTGAAAGAAAAAACCAACAATGAAAAGCATCAAGGAAAAATGTAGGTTTCCTAATATTTTTTGAACAATGATTATTAAATTTACTCAATTAGAACAGCATCCCTCCAATAAATGTGCATTAAATCTGACAATGTTATCAAAGGGTACTGACTGAGTGCAATAAACACAAGTGATTTGAAATGAATTTTTGTATAGGGCATTTTCATGCAAATATATAATAATATTAAACAGATCATAAGACAACTGGCAAGTACATGTACATAATAATAGCTCACCTCTTCTGTTACCCAGAGTCTAAACTCCAAACCTTTACTATAGAAATCATCTATATTTATTTTACCTGCAGGGAATAAAACAAGAACAGTTCAGTTGTACATTTGTGGAACTGAATTTTAGGAACCCCCCCCCCCCCAAAAAAAAATCTTTATCCAACAACATTTTTACTGTTTCTAAATTATTTGATACTAAAAAGGATTGGTGATGATTCTTAAAATCGCATGGAATTAAACAAGAAAGAAAAATCAATCTTTGAAGAAGCTATGTAACCTGCATAAACTTGTACTTGTGTATCTCCTAACTGTACCACTAATAAAGGAAGCAACTATTAAAACTTTCTCTATATTTCCAAAACAGAAAATGATCCATTCATGCAGTGCTGAGTGTTGATTTAGGGAAAGTTATTTGACATGGCAAGTTACCCAGTACCCAGAAATTAGTGCAAATGTACAGTCAGTAATGATGTGAATACCGGTATGTATTATATCTAGCAAAGAAATAGTTTGCATGTTATATGGTACACATTCCTTACCTTCAGCTTTCATTTTCTCCTTTTTCTTTTTTTTCTTTTCTTCCACTTTCTTTTTCTTTTTAGCGCTTGCATCTAACTTGACTTTCTTGGCAGATAAAGCTTCAGTATCTGAGTCTACAATATTGAAACTGTTACCAGTCTGAACTAACAAATCATGACATGTCAGCTACACGTACAGATATATACACATTATAACATAGAATATTTTGCAAAGAATGTATGTCGATGCTACATGTACCTCATTATAAGTGCCATCCACACCATATAGCAATAAACTACAATTTGCATAACTAGAAGCACATCTCCAATAGAGGTACATGTATACGTTAGAAAAAATGTACTGTACCTTACTACAGTATACCACAGTATTTATTTCTAATAGAGCAAATGTACTACTTGTTTAACTTCTTTTAGACACATATTACATGGTATTGTACATGTAATAGCCAGTTTCAAGGCCAATCATAATTTTTTATTGTGGTAAAATATAAATATATAATACAGAAAAAAATAATATCAAACACACCAAGGCAACTAGTTGAGCATTCAAACATGTCATGTAGCATATTCAGCTAATTTTGACTAGCATGGCTTTAGCTATTTCAATGTGTAGCTAATTCAATACATTTTCACAATGAGACTGTTAGCACTTTAGTGAAAATGAAATAAGGGTTCTGCTTATTTAGTCATTCAACAAAATTTGTTATAATTGTACACAGATACTTCACAGTGAATACATTACAGTGAGTTGTAAAATAATGCATGGATGTGAAAAAAGTGTTACTGCGGAGTTGGTATGTTACCTGAATCTGATGCAGAACTGTAATCAGAGCCACTATCACTGCTTTCTTCTCTCTTTGACTTCTTTTTATGTCTGAAAACGTGACACAAAAATATAATTATTTAGTGTTAGGAATGATTTTCTTGAATGTGGCAACATTATTTTCCCTGCAACACCTTGGATGCAATTTTTTTTTTCTAGTGGTGTCTATTTTGAAATTGCTTTGTTTCAACAAATTTCCCAATCAGCCCTATGATTTTAAGTGGTCGGCTCCTAATCTATTTAGACTTTTTGTTATTCAATTATAAGAATAAGGACTGAAATAAATGTAATACATTGCAACAATACAAATACTAATAAATTGATTACAATGCTAACAAGCAATAACAGCCAAAAAATAATAAAACTAGCAAGCTACATCTATACATGTAGTTGTTTCAGTGCCAAAGAAATTCATTTAAAAAAACTACCAGCTGCCTCTAAATAAACTACTATTTTTTTTTATTCCTTTCTATTTTAGCGCTTCCATGTTGCTACTTCCTCAGTTTTTCGTCTTTATTGTAATTTTCTTTTTCTAAACCAATACCCAAATAAGGATACGATTATGCAATAAAGATTATTATTATTATTCAAAAACATATGAGCAGACATTGTTATTGTCATCTGAGCTATAAACAACATAAACCATGGACATTAAAAACAAAATCTGTGTACAGGTGTGTGTTGCTGCAGGATGAAATAGACTGAAAAATATCAGTGTTCACAATGTGGGTGTATGGAAAACGAAAACCCGAGAAAACGAAGGCCCCTGAATGTTCCTATGACGCCAATGATACACGAATTCGCCCAATATCGGGCATTTACTTTCATTGTGAACTCGTTAACTAACTTCCCGTACAAATTTCATTGCGAATTCTTCATAATAAATTATTTTCATACACATTTGCGGATATAATCAATGTAAAACCCAGTAGTATGCCTAATTTCATCTTGGTTTCGTTTAATATATATATAGCGGTGTCTGAACGAACTGACCCCGTTTTGATGTTCAAAGTACTAACAACACTGTGTATCCACATGAGGTTCAGACGCTATTTCAAATTGAAGTTTCAAAAAAGTGCTTCGAAAGAAACTGAGATAATGGCCGGTTTGCATAATCGGCACGTCGTTGTGGGAACATGCCAAATTGCAGTCACTTTCACAGTCGCTGTTACAATATTTACCAGCTCACATGATAACTATGACATTATGAAGGATAACTGACAAATTAGATAAATGTATGGATAATATGAGAATAGTCGCACTTGAAAGTGTGTTCCGAGAAGTACATGTATCATTCAGCGACACTCTGAATGTTCCCGTTATATTGACGTAATCAATGCATGAACAAACAGGGGGCGGTACTTGCATAAATTATAGGTTATTTATATTACAACTAGTGTTACAAAACCTCGGTAAACTGTGCACAAAATCACAACACGCGACCCCTACCACCGGAATAGTACTGTTATGAAACTTTTGACTCTTATTTAATTTACATATCATCTGTCAATCAGGAACCGCTAAGTGGCGTGAATATGCAAATCATCCCTCAAACATAAACAAAACGTAGGCAAAGCGCTTCATAATAATAGTTTAACTGTGTTTTAAAGTTGGTTTTAATGATTATTTTTAAATTATTTTTAACAAAATATAGATATGAAACCCATCGTACAGGAAAGCCAAAAAAAAGCAAAAACGGTCAAAAATGAGAAAAAAACTGCATTTTATCCTTAAATGTCTTTGGTTGTCTGTATGAAATTGTAATCTATAAATAAAGTGCGTGATTAAACTTTGTAACTATACATGCGAATATATTCAAAGTGCAAGTACTTCTAATAAGCACCAAATACCAGTACACGTATTGAAACCGGGAAGGTGATTCTATTGTCTTCGAGGGGCTACAATTGAATTACATCCTCGTGTTGGATTATATATGTTTGTAATGCAATTAAGTATATCACGTTATTGAACGAGTTCGCAATTAAATTAAGTACATCACGCTATTATAGAGTTTGCAGTAGAATTATGCATGTCGTTATTATACGAGTACGTAAATAAATCATTACGTACTCACCATAATTAAATGAGGTCGGGATGGAATTACAAATTCAATCATGTGTCAGTAAAGTTAACTTCGTAGTTCCATTGGACACGTTTTAATCAGTAACGTGACAATATGCATTTTTATTCTGACATAATTTATTCATGCCATTTAATGACCATGACCAATAGCGACGTAATTCCATGCGATCGGGGTGTACGTAATTTCATTTGGTAACTATTTAATAACGTCACGCAATTTATTTAAGAACTCATTTAATAATATGACGTGATTGATTAGATTTAACAGAACCATGCACGCAACGTAACTGATCGAAAAATAATTTACATATGTTACATATGTTTAGTAAAATGCAATTATAAATATACGTATTATTTCGCATTCAATATACGCACGTTGTGAGTTCACAAAGAAAATAAGTACTTCACGTTGTAATTTCACAATTAAAAGTAGTTAGTTTAATTTATTATGAAGAATTTCGTACGGGAAGTTAGTTCACAATTAAAATAAATGCCCGATATTGGGCGAATTCGTGTATCATTTGCGTAATAGGAACATTCCAGGGTCTTCGTTTTCCATGGTCTTCATTTTCCAGGGTCTTCGTTTTCCATACGTTGTAATTTCACAATTAAAAGTAGTTAATTTAATTTATTATGAAGAATTTCGTACGGGAAGTTAGTTTACAATGAAAGTAAATGCCCGATATTGGACGAATTCGTGTATCATTGGCGTCATAGGAACATTCCAGGGTCTTCGTTTTCCATGGTCTTCGTTTTCCAGGGTCTTCGTTTTCCAGGGTCTTCGGTCTTCGTTTTCCAGAGTCTTCGTTTTCCATACACTCGGTTCTTACATTCATTGTGGAAATGAGTTCCAGAAGAAAGTTAAAGGGTATCGCAGGCAATCTATTGCATCTAGACTTAAAACCTCAGAAACTGTTGACAATGCATTAGTGAATGTTCTAAAGCTGAATCCCATTACCCCGTTGGCTTGTTGTCTCCTTCCGCATAATATTGAGGAGCATTGGTGGTAAAATATACATCATACTTTTGCCATACCCTGTTGGTAATATGGCCAATGTGTGTATATTATTTAAAATACAAGTAGTACCTTCTACTTGTTGAGCTTTTAGGTCAAATTTTAAAATATCTTTCAGATTCTTGTCAAAAGACTCAACAATTTTGTCTTTTGTGAATTCCATGCTGTCTGCTCCTGTCACTTGTAACACTCTTTGGCAAGTTACAAGATTATTTTTAGATTTTTCACAATATATAAATAAAACTCCTTGAAAAAAATATTTTTAATAATACATGTACTTTATTTGATTTTTTTCAAAAAAAGATGAGTCACTTAATGGTGAAATGAAATTAAAATTATAACAAGCAGCCTCTCGGCTGAGATAGCTCCGCTGTTAGCAATGCACATTTCGATTAAAGAACAGAAAATATCATTAGAAAATGAACAATATGCATAGTATCAATGCAATGGGACTTGCTGTTTTCAACAACAATTTAAAAATATCATTTTTGACCATAAATGATTGTGGTTTTTAACAAGAAGAAAATATCACTTTTTACCAAAAATGACAAAATATTCATCAAAATTAGAGAATTGAAGATTTCATCATGAAATGAACAA